CTTCACTAGCCACCCCAATGCCTGCACTAGCCACCATCACACCTGCACTAGCCACCACCACACGTGCACTAGTCACCCCAGCACCTGCACTAGCCACCTCAATGCCTGCACTAGCCACCTCACACCTGCACTACCTACCGCAGTGCAGCGCAGCAGCAGCCTCCCTGCACCCCAGGGTGCCCGCACCCTGCACCGGGTGCTCCCGGCAGCCCCCGCAGGAATCCGGGAATTCCTTCCCGCTCTTCCCAGCGGCCGGGCTCGTGTCTCCCTGCGGATCCGCGGCGCCGCCAGGAGCCTGCGGAGCGTCGCGGGGCGGCGCGAGGAATTCCTGCCCGGCAAAAATTCCCGCCTGGCACCGCCATAAATCACCCTAGGGATGAGCCCGGATCTTCCGAGGATCCGAGCTCCCCAGGGAAGCGGCGCTGGCTCTGGCGGAGGATGCGTGGCGCCACTGCGGGAATTTGATGGATTTGGGAATTTTGGGGGAATTCTACCATCGTTCAATTGGGAAAACATGGGAAAATGAAGCCTGTTCCCACCGCTTCTCCCGGAGAACTGACTCATCCCATGGCCACGTTGCAGCGGGATGCACAGCACCATTCCCAGAGGGAAATGGTTGGGAAACGAGCTCCTTGGGAAGAGGGAAAGCGCTCGGGGGTCACCCTCTGAGCTGCACTGATTTACACACCCGTGAGCTGCATCTTCTGCACCAGGGAGATGCAGTGATCTGCACACTTGCCGACTGCATTTTCTGCACCAGATGCAGCGATTTGCACCCTTGCAAGCTGCAGCAATTCGTGCACCTGCAAGCYGCAGTGCTTTATGCACCCACAAGCTGCAGCGATTTGTGCACCCGCCAGCTGCAGTGATTTGTGCACCCGCAAGCTGCAGTGCTTTATGCACCTGCAAGCTCCAGTGCTTTATGCACCTGCAAGCTGCAGCGATTTGTGCACTCCCAAGCTGCAGTGCTTTATGCACCCACAAGCTGCAGCGATTTGTGCACC